CCCGGCCCAGTTAACCTGCTGTGGAGGCCTTGTCTTTGGCTGCGGTTGTGGTCAGTACCTTCTCCTAGATTTCTCACCAGCATCGACTCAGTCCTATTTTGTGTTATAAATTAGAACTTAATGACAGTGGTCCAATCCAAGAAAACCAAAGGCAAAGGAAGAGCAGAGGAGTGGTGGAGAGCGGAGGGAGGTGGACGATGACTGTCACGCCTCTGCTCTGGGTAAGGTGGGCTCCGGAAGAAAGGAAAAGAAGTGTGAGGGAGCTGCGTGCTAGAAGATGCACTTTGGTGCAAATTGTGTTTCCTAATTTGATAAACAAAACTATATAAATACATTAACAGGTTTTTATCTAATAGAATATACAGGTTCTAAAATGCAGAAAAGCTAATTTATACATATTTTTGTTAAAACACATATATCAAAGACTGGTATCTTATCCGGGCACATATATTTGGGAAAATCCAATTCAAGCTGTATTGTTCCAATGGACAGACCTTTTCAGGACAGAATCTAATGGGAGAATCAAGTTTGGACAGGTTCAACTAGAATCATTACTAAGGGCTCAGGTGATAAATATCAGCAATTACTCAGTTGTTTTACTGCATTTTCAATCAGTTCTTAGAAAAATGTCAATTATCAGCATTTGAGTTCTTGAAAATCTTTAGCACATATTAGGAAAAAATGCAAAGACTACAGGATGGAAACTCATTTGTGTGAGATGAACGCACATTCTTAACCTGCTTTAAGGGGCTCTGTGTGCTCTTAGCAACAAGTTAGGTTCTGAATATATAAAATCAATGAATGTTGCAGTCACAACAGCTATTTAAGTCCCATAAAATCAGTAAGAATTCTAAATTAAGTGAAGCAAGCCATGACGAACTTTCAGATGCACACACATCTCAGCAATTGTCCAATTCTGTCAGAGCGAATTTCTTCCTGAGGCTATACTTATATAAAAACCAAACACATAGATTGATATATTACATATTATGGCCCCAATTTTTTCTCAGTGGTAATAGGTCTGTGAAAGCACAAAGGAAAGCCCCAGGGAAAGATGGTTTTCTACAGAAATATCTTACTTTTTGAACAAGGGTATGAAAATTTAAGACCTGGCATTTTCTGTTGCTCTGGGCTAGCATGTTTGTCAAAAGAGTACCCCTTGGTGCCAGCAAGAGCACCACAAAAGCTCACAATTCTAAGAGCAGCTCTCATGTAGCCAATGGATATTAGTAATAAAACTTTTTTTTTTTTTTTTTTTTTTTGGTTTTTTGAGACAGGGTTTCTCTGTGTAGCTTTGCGCCTTTCCTGGGACTCACTTGGTAGCCCAGGCTGGCCTCGAACTCACAGAGATCCGCCTGCCTCTGCCTCCCGAGTGCTGGGATTATAGGCGTGCGCCACCACCGCCCGGCTAATAAAACTTTTAATATTCAAGGAATTATAGTATACTGTTAGACTATTACACAAAATCATAAATGTCTTACTATACAAGATAACTAGACATAGTAGCTTTTAAAATATTTATGTATGTATTTTGTGTGTATGAGTACAGGTGTACACATGCCACATGTGTGTGGAGGCCAGAGGAGAATCCTCAGGTATCTGTTCTCTCCTGACACGTTGTGGGATCTGGGGACCAAAGTCAGGCTATGTGCTGAGCCCTCTGCAAGCTGACAAACTACCTTATATATATCCTCTTTCAGTAAGTATAACTGCTCCAAGGAATTATGTTTGGTTTTGAATATGCATTTCAGAAATGCCCACAAGTTCTGAGTAACTTGCCCTGGAAATCTGAAAGCAGCTGTGAGAGTTTCTGAAGAGCAAGCGGGACTTGTGTGACGATACTCAGTTTAGTGGCAACAAGCTAAGAAGATGAAAGGAAAGGTCACTGTGCTGTGGGATGTTCTGTTTGGCAAATGTGTTGCTGATTAGTCAATAAATAAAACACTGATTGGCCATTGGCTAGGCAGGAAGTGTAGGCGGGACAAGGAGGAGAATAAAGCTGGGAAATGGAAGGCTGAGTCAGAGAGACACTGCCAGCCACCACGATGAGAAACAGCATGTGAAGATGCCGGTAAGCCACGAGCCTCGTGGCAAGGTATAGATTTATAGAAATGGATTAATTTAAGCTGTAAGAACAGTTAGCAAGAAGCCTGCCACGGCCATACAGTTTGTAACCAATATAAGTCTCTGTGTTTACTTGGTTGGGTCTGAGCTGCTGTGGGACTGGCGGGTGACAGAGATTTGTCCTGACTGTGGGCCAGGCAGGAAAATTCAAGCTACATCACTGTCCACAAATATGCGTGCGGTTCCCCTTTTCTCTGGTTGGGGATGTCTGTGTTCTTTACCCTTACCATGGTAGGGCTTTGTACAATACTGACCCACATATCGACCCTATCCTCAGGGGCAATGCTATCTTCATTAGCAAATATTTTAAGCTATGTGGGAAGAAGGTGGGATGGAATGCCAAATATAAGTACACCTTATAGAAGTGAGTGGGGTTCATTTTAGCATGACACATATTTGAATTTTATTCCTAACATGCTTAGTAATATTTATTTTAAAAGAGTGATAAAAAGACAGAGTTGTAGCCTGGCGGTGGTGGCACACGCCTTTAATCCCAGCACTCAGGAGGCAGAGCCAGGAGGATCTCTGTGAGTTCGAGGCCAGCCTGGTCTACAGAGCAAGATCCAGGACAGGCACCAAAACTACACAGAGAAACCTGTCTCAAAAAAACCAAAAGAAAAGACAGAGTTGTAAACAAAAGGGGCTAATAGCTAAGCAACAGGTTCCCAAGGGGTAAATGTGAAAAGCTAAAGGGGACTTTCTAAAAAAAGAAGTAAGAAAGAAAGTAATATGTACTGCTATGGAAGTCTTAGGAGCTAGTGATAAAGGATAAAGAGAGGCCCCTGAACCTGAGCTGCAGAGAGCAAGCAGACTTGTTGGGAACTGTTAAGGAAACCTGTGGCAAAAGTCATAGTTCTAACACAAGCTTTCAAAACCAAAACTCACCAAGTTCCTTGTGACATGGGATCTACAGCGACCAATGATTTTAAAGGAAGCCAAAGGACTCGCTCTAGAAATGACTATGCTGTCTACACACCAAGAGGACCAATGGCTGGGGGTGCTTACAAGCTGTGGGGTCATAAGAAGAGTGACTAAGGACACACAGTCGTGCTTACAGCTACAGGTTTAAGTTGCACACGGGAAACGTAATTCACACAAAAAGTGCACAACTGAATCCTTTCCAGGGTCACCTTTCCAAAGGGTCATTACACCGAAACTCAGAGGTCAAAGGGTACAAGAAAGATCTAGATAGCGGTGTCTATTTTGTTACATGGTGCCGATGTTAAAAACAAAGGTTCTCTTAAAATTATTTTAGGTTTTAAAATATTTGTGTGTGTGTTATGGTGTATGTTCTTGTCTGGATGTATGTACATGTTCATGCTGGTAAGCATGTGCATACGTATGTGTAGAGGTCAGAGATTGATTTTGGCTGCCTTCCTTAATTGCTCTCCACTTTATTTTTTGAGACAGGGTCTCTCACTGAACCTGGAGCTCGTCAATTCAGGTAAGCTGGTTCATCAGTGAACTTTGGGGTCTGCTTGTCTCCCACCCATCACATGTTGGAGGGACAGATGCCGCCACACCTGGCTTCTCTATGGGTTCTGGGGTCCAAACTCAGGTCCTTCTGCTTGCTCAGTGGGCACTCTGCTGACTGACGCGGCTTTCCAGCGCAGAGCTTTGTTTTCACATGGAATAATTATACGAATTTTAATAGTATATTTTATTATTGTGTTTCTCATACTTCTTTTTATTCCTTGCTGAACATTTTGGAGATGTGGCAGTAGTTTAATACAAAAAGTATAGGGCCTAGTATGTCTTCAGTTGCAGAAGCAAGACTATGAGATTCCTGTTCATGCCTCTAACATGTCAGTCCAAACACTGCTTCCCTCATGGCATAATAAATTACAAAAGTAGAGTTAGACAGTGGTCTATGAGCGTTTATTACCAGGCATATGACACTGTGGGTGAGCACAGTTATTGGTATTTTCTCTGTCAGTGACCAAAATATTTATACATTTAATAAAGTAGAAAAACCTTTTAAAAATTAATAAGATATTTTTCATGAACTGCCAATTCAACTGGAACACTGAATAGTAGAAATAACAAAAGATTTGTTCTTAGGGTTGATTAAAAATTTATATCAGAGCATTCAAGTAAAGTTATTTTCTGTGTTCTGATTTAATGAATCATGTGCATTGTATCTGTTGGGTGACACAGATTCTTGCTCACTGAAGCCGACCTAATCCTGCCCACACACCTGGGGACAGGGAAAGTCACAGCAAAGAGAGAGAGCAGGGCTGGAGACACCCGAGGTGACCTGCGAGCATCCCTAAGTTTTCAATTGCCTATCGGCTTCAATGACCTAGCAACACCCAGCTGCATCAGTAACGCAGTAAGGAATGACCTCCAAAGAGTCTTCCAATTCATGCTGAAAAACACTCCACCTAATAAACGCCTTTAACCCTTTTGAAAAATAGCCTAGAAACCACCAGTGGTTTCTTAAAGGTGAGTGAGTTTTAAATGTTTTATGTATACTTGTGTAGTAAGTGTTCACCTTAGCTCCTTTAAACCTGTTAAATTCTAAAATATACATTTAGAAAATAAAAGTTATCCATTACTATTAAAGACAAACTATGTTAAAAAATGGAATATATGTAAAAACAGAGGTATAAAACAATGGCGCTCAGTCTTAGGAGAACAGACATTAACAATGAAATGCAAGAGACTGTTGCATAAACCTTGCACATAGGATGTTCTCTAACAAAAGATAAACAATATTTATGAGGACTAGGTTTTCTTAAGAGAGTAGAGATACAAAGAAACAATTACAGTATCTCAAAATATAGGAACGCCATTCTCCAAGGCAATGTGCAAACCAGTGACTGTTCTCCCTACCCAAACTGTTCACTAGAGACAGAATCTGAAAGAGTACTTACACTGTCAGCAACACCACAGCGATTAAAGTCCACTCCACGGGCTTGTGGATGATGTTTCGATTGGATAATCTGAAAGACAACAGGATTTACCTTCGAATTTTAGTTCTCGATAACAATTACAATTTAATGTGTCAAAGAGGTAGTTCTTTTTTTAAATTATTTTATTTTATATTTTGGTTTTTCAAGACAGTTTCTCTGTGTAACCCTGGCTGTCCTGGAACTTGCTCTGTAGAGTAGGCTGGCCTAGAACTCACAGAGATCGCCTGCCTCTGCCTCCCGAGTGCTGGGATTAAAGGCGTGCACCACCATCACCCTGCTAAGAGGTAGTTCTAAATACCTGTTCTGTTTCACAGGGTAAGGTCAGTGGTGAGATACTGCAGTTGTTATTCAAGGTTTGATGCTGACAGTCTCCCATGCCGGCTGTAACAGCCCAACTTACTTCGCTTCTGAGATCAGCTGCAGATAGTAACAATCTCAACAGGAAGCATTCCAGCCCCACTCTTACATAGTTATAGCAATAGTATTATTAGAACAGGATTATGAGAATCAGGAGGGAAATGAGATCACATTTATTAAAATAGACACAGATGTCCATGGTCCATATCATCACCCGTTGAAGCTAACAAGGTAAGTTGCTCTGACCCTGGTTTTACCTAATACTCTAGCACTTTTTGACCTGTTCTTGGTTGGCAGCAGGCAACTAAGGGATGCCATAATCTACAGAATATGAGTGCTAGCTCACCAAACTGTAAGAACAAGTCTTTGCTAGAAGAAATTGAAGTTTTTAGCAATACCTAATAAATCTGGAATATGAGTACCTTACATCTATATATAAAGACTTAAAAGTACTTTCATTTACATATAATGACCTACGGAAACCTTTACCAAAATATTGCTTATAATAGAGGGAAATAAATTGTAGCATATTTAGAGTATTAAACAACCATTAATATGAATGACCTAGATTTATATATGCTAGAAAATCATTTTGTGAATGAAACCAAGTATGGCATGGCATCATTTTCATTATCAAGAATGGGTGAGACTAAGCGCTGTCTGTGGACATGTGCAGATGGCACAAAAGTGAAAACAAGGACCAGACGGAAACATGCACGTCACAGTGCCAGGTGCTCACACTGTCTTCCTCAGTACCTCTCTGGAGACAAACGTCCCTGCCTACCTCTGTCCTCAGTCTAATACTCCCAATGTTCTTGCATTTCCCTTTCTTTTTCACACCACATATTACCTCCTAACATATTACCAGTTTTCTCTTGCCTGAGAAGAAATGTCTGCATTCTTCACCTGTTTATTCCAGGTGCCCAGAACAAGCAGCTTATAGTCTTTCCTGAACATCTGAGAAACTTTAAAAAAATTAAAACCTATTAGTTTATCAATTTGGATTTTCTCTACAGTTTAGAATGTTTTTCAAAATTAATAAAAAATCTAGCTATAAAAAGGCAGTACAGTATAAGAGTCAGCTAATGTGGAGATTAGCTCAGCTCTGTCACGTACTGGTGTTAGAGACTCCAATACCTACTAATAATATAAAATGTTAAGCTGGGTGTGGTAGTACATGCCTTTGATCCCAACACTGGAGAGGCAGAGGCAGGGGAATCTCTGTAAGTTTGAGTCTAGCCTGGTCTACAGAGCTATTACAAGTCCAGCCAGGCATAGATGGATGGATGGATGGATAGATAGATAGATAGGCAGACAGACAGACAGACAGGTATATATATGATAGGTAGGTAGATAGATAGATAGATGATAGATGGATAGACAGACAGACAGACAGACAGAGTCCCTGGTACAGAAAGCTCAACAGAACTACTTTTCCTCGCAGGCTTCTACAAAGATCAAGCGTCCCAAAGGCACATGCTGCCAGACCCTCCTCCCTTCACCTACCAGCCGGCTCTGACACAGCTGAGCAGAGCGGTCCCTCCATGGACAGTCTCTACCTGGTTCCCTTCTCCCTGGTATCACTGCAAACTTCCTGACCATGAGCACCATGGCTCTTCTCTGCAAACACTTCCTTTTGGTGATTTTATCTTGTCTCACAGCACCAAGACAACCAAGGCCGAGACTCAGACCTTCCAGCTCCAGTCTGGACCTCTTCCTGAAGCCCAGTTTCTGTATTGGATGGTCTACTCGGCACATGTGACATGCACGCACACACTCCTCCTGTTCTGGCAGGGGTAGGTCATTCTATTCCCGACCCCCCAGTTCATGGCTCTTCACACAGATTGTTCTCCTCTGGACATTGCTCACTTTCCCAGGCTTATCAGCATCCTAAATGTTCAATGACTATGTCAGGCTCACTCTTGTTTTCAGGTTTTGCTTTTAATTTATTATTTTAATTAATTTATATGTATGGTGTTTCTCCTGCATGTGTGTCTGTGCACCATGTGTGTGCCGTGCCCAGAGGGGGCAGAAGAGGGCAGCAGATCCCTTGGAACTGGAGTTACAGATGGTTGTGAGTCACCATGTGGGCATTAAGAACTGAACTCAGGTCCACCAGAAGAACAGCCAGTGATATTAACCACTGAGCCATCTCTCCAGCCCCGTTTCCAGGTTTCTTAATTTTTTTAAACTTTTATTTCTATTTTTTTATTTATTGGTTTTTCGAGACAGTTTCTCTGTGTAGTTTTGGTGCCTGTCCTGGAACTCAACTCACTCTGTAGACCAGGCTGGCTCTGAACTCACTGACATTCGCCTGGCTCTGCATGTGCTACCACTGCCCGGCAAATTTTTTTATTTTTTAGTGAGTGCCTACGATGTGTGTTGAGTGTACACGCCACGGTACATGTATGGAGGAGGTCCAGGTACAACTCGGTGGAGCTGGTTCACTTCTTCCACCTCTGTGTGGGTTTAGGGGAGCAGGCCCATGTCCACGGTGTGCACAGTGCCTGTTCACCAGCTGAGGCACCCAACAGCTGTTTTCAGGCTGCTCTATCTGATGACTTCATACAGAAACAGCATGCTCCCAACCTCCTGTGAGCATTTCAAATGCACCTCTCACTGCTGTCTCCCCCAGGTGATCGAAAACTGAGACCTTCTCACTCTTCAGTTACTGCCCTGCTCCCAGCTTCTTAGAAGTAGAGAACACACTAGAAAGGTGAAAAGAGCATATGGCTATGTAATATGGCTGCGTGATAACACGTGACACCGAAACATGCATACAGCCCTCTGGCAGGATGACGTGCCATGAGAGAAGGGCTTTTCTGTTCACTGTCCTCTTGCAGCAAATAAAATGAAACTCAGCAAGCACATAACCATGAAGAGCTGAAATAGTAGGGTAAGTGTGGACATAAAAATAACAAAACAGTGCAGCATGGCCTCTCTTGTTTGGATTTTTCTTTTAAAGAGGTGTCTAACTATGTAGCCCTGGGCTGGCCCGGAACTTACACAGATCGGCCTGCCTCTGCCTCTGAGTACCTGGATTAAAGATGTGCACCATCAGGCCTAAAATTCTGTTTTTTGGTTTTTGTTGTTGTTGTTAAACCTCTCAGTTAACATATATTTAAGATTTCATGAGTTCATTTTTGTCACTCAGGAAAAAAAAAAATGTAGCACACATGTAACTTACACCACTGTCGTCGCAGGCACTGGGGAAATTCAAGTAAGAGGCTCTTAGTTACATTTCCATTGCTACGACAAAACACCATGACCAAGACGACTTACAGAGAAGTTTACTGGGGCTTACAACTTCACGGCAGGGAGCATGGCAGAGGTAGGCAGGCACTGGAGCAGTAGCTGGGAGCTTACATCTGATCCATAAGCAAAGAGAGAGAGCCAACTGGGAATGGCCTGGGCTTTTGAAAACTCAAAGCCCACCCTAGTGACACACCTCCTCCAACAAGGCCACACCTCCTAATCCTTCCTAAAAAGTTCCAACAATGGGGACCAAATATTCAAACATATGAGTCTATAGGGGTCATTCTCATTTAAACCACCAGAAATTTTGTTTTTATCTTGCAGTATTTCTATTATATTAGCAGAATAGCAAAATAAAAAGTTTCTTTTTTCTTTTTGTTTTTCAAGACAGGGTTTCTCTGTGTAGCTTTGGTGCCTTTCCTAGAACTCACTCTGTAGCCCAGGCTGGCCATGAACTCAGAGAGATCCACCTGCCTCTGCCTCCCGAGTGCTGGGATTAAAGTCGTGTGCCACCACCGCCAGCTCTACTTGTTTTCACACTGCTGATCCAAACAGTATCTAGCATACAAGCTAAATAAGTATATCTACTACTGTCTAACTAATACTTAAAAAACAAAAAGGGGCTGGAGGTATGACTCAGGGTTTAAAAACACTGGCTGTTCTTTCCAGAGGACCTGGGTTCAATTCCCAACACACGTCATGTGGCTCACAACCATCTGTAACTCCAGTTCCAAGAGGTCCAATGCCCTCTTTTGGCCTCCCTGGGTATTAGGCACATGTTATTTAAAATTTACACACATTTAGAAAAAAAAGTCTTGATTCATCATAGATGCAATTTAAAGAAGATTTTAGTGGCAGAATAGAATAGGATTTTAATTTATATCTGCTCAGACAAGCATCTTGACCAGCTGGCTGGAGCCTGTTCTGTGCTGTGACAGGTAAAACAGTGGGGATGGTGGGCAGCTCTCTACTCAGGCGTGAAAGCCTAAACAGAGAGCCCTAAACAGGCTCTCAACTGCACGCTGGAATCACCTGGGGCCTTTTAAGCTACCTACTGTCTGAGCAGAACTCTGACTAACCAAAGGAACCTGGTCTCCAGGGGCCAAGCCACACATTTGTAGCTGTTAAATGGCTGCTCTACAAGTTCTTAGTATTGGCGATCATTTCCAAGAGAAAAACACAGTTATTTATATCAACTCTTTCCCACTGTCAATATTCACTGAAAGGAGTTCTCCACACCAGTCACTGCCAGCAATGGGGCATCTTTACAGAAGAAACAGACTACAGAGTCACATTTTCTTATTAGACGCTGGGGACTCCTCATCCCTGGGAGCACCTGACATTTCTTTGAAGGAGTTGGTTGTTGTCAGAATAACAAACAGTATATAAGAGCTTAGTTTTTGCTTTCTCTACTTTTACAGGTGCTTGACATTTAATAAAGACATCTGTGAAAACAAGCCAAAAAGTAAACAGTATCTTGGTAGGGGGTACTACTTACTATTCTGACAACAACCAACTCCCAACCAACCATGTTTCACTTTCACAGCCCCATATTTTCTACCACCCCTACTAATGTGGATAATTTTGAAGTCAATAGCATCACTTCATCGTCTTTAGATTATTGTGAATAATGAAAAAAGTAATCGGAAGGGATCTGGTTGCAAACTAGAGATGACAGGAAAGGTGACAAAATAGGTTTATGCATTACACCGGACAAAGTCTCCGCGTATCTGCAGTCTGTGCGTTAGGACTGAAGAGCCCTGTGTCTCCTGTCCTGGCTAGCTCAGGGTCCGAAGAATGACACTTGGTGGGTAACGGAAGTTACATAGTAGATTTCTTACAGAATCTTCTACAGTAATCCCATTAGGCTCTTTGGGTTTTTTAAGTGTTGGTGAAATGACTGGTTCTCAACCTAATACCCTTGGAAGTACTCAAGTATATCCCAGCTGTTCCTTTGTTAAGTGTGTGAGGAAACCAGACAGGCTTGGACTGGACACAAGGAAAGCTGCCAGTTCAGGGAATGGAAACTGTAATACAATTCAAATGACTTAAGGGGGTTTTTGTGTGCTCTAAGAGGTCAAACCTGGGCCTCATGCATGCCAACCACACACTCTACCACTGAACCACACTTCCAGGCCACACAGCAGACTCACATCAGTTCTTCATGAGGGTGTTCCTGAAATAGCATCCTCCCCACCTGCAAGTCAACTTCCTACCACAATCTTGCAGAACTACCTTTGTGGTCCTTTCCTAAAGTTCATTTAAGATACGGTAGAATAGAGTGATAACCCTGACCCAGCAGTGCCGACCTTGACATGCAGGGCTGACCCTGATATAGCAGGGCCACTGACAACAAAACTGAAAGTTTTCATCAAAGGTTCTAGAGAGGACAGGGATGCAGCTTCGTGGTAGAGCATATGTCCATCGTGCGTCAGGTGTTGGGTTCTACTCTCATGTCCCCCTAAACATGTGCACACACATACGCACATGCCTACAAATGTATAAGTATGTGCACACATACCTACAGCTAATTTCTTGGCGTGGGGATTGAACTCACGGCCTTGTACACACTAGATATGCACTGTAACCCTGAGCTACACCCTTAGCCCCTGAAAGAAGTCTTCATTGTCTAGTTCAGAAGCAAAGGGCCACACAGAAAGCCAAGTACTGTGGTCACTGACCTTCTATAGCAAAACAAGGAATCTTGTCTAAACCATAGACAGACTGTTGTAAAAACCCGTCTACACCACCTTCCATGACCAATGACCTTTCTCTACACCGCCTTCCATGACCAATGGCCTTTCTCTACATCATTGCTTTTAGAAATTAAATAACTTGGTAAAGCCCAGCATGTGATGAGAACTGCCTTCATGTGTTGACATAAATCAGACATTATTAGCAGTGCAGCTTCCAAAGGCTAACAGTGGGTCCAACACCGAACACCCCATTTCCATGGCACATACAATAATAATGGAGTGGTCCTATAGTTACTTTAAAAATACAATTCAACAGCCTGGTCTCCAAAGCGAGTTCCAGGAAAGGTGCAAAGCTACACAGAGAAACCCTGTCTCGAAAAAAAAAAAAAAAAATCAAATGACATCAGTAGTCCCAAAGGAGTGAGAAATGCTACCTGTCAGATAGCACAGTGTGACTAAAGCATCACGTTTCATGATTTTAACTGAAATGCCAACTTGATGTCATCAAATGCTGGACAAGTTCTCACTGGCAGTACTTTTATAATTAACAGCAATGATTTAGTAAGGGAATAATTCACACTGCAGAGACATAATTTTGTGCCCTACAGTGAAAAAACAAAGAGGTCCTTAGACAGAGGGAAAAGTAATGTTTGGTGGTGTTTGGATCGGAACTCATTCACACTAGGTGAGTGCTCTAGAAGCCAGGGCCCCTCTGAGAGGACTTATTCCTAGAGCTCTGCTGAAGTGACATCACCAGTTCGCTCAGAACAATGAGATACCCACTGTCCTGAAGGAAGTGCATGGCAAGTCGTTACAAATCAGTGAAAGTGTGTCACTATGACATTCACTCTCGGAGAAGTCAGAACAAATCCTCAATTTCAGTGTTTCCACACTGTGGACCTCTAGCCAAAGTTTACCATCACTATAGAAAGTTCTTTTTTCCCTTTTAGATGCATGGTTCTAGTAGAGACATAAGATGGAAAGCGTCTGTTTCCATTATGAACAGGGATACCAAAAAATCAAGTTTTGTAATATTTGGTCTGGACCCTTTTTTTTTCACAAAGCACTCAGTCTTCAAAAGGCCTGTGCCAACCTGAAGACTACTCTAGCATCCATGAAGTTTTGTGATCAATGATCTTTAAGCTGTATTGTCTCTGAGACACTCATGACAATCAATAAATCACATTATTTAGGTTTATTTTTGAACATTCACTTTCAACTATGGACACCCCAGTGAGACTGTTCTCATATGCATGTTTTATCAATCAGAACACTCTCAACTGCTCCACTTTCCAAGGTGCAAAATCTCCATTCTCTGTCTTTGCAGCTCTCAGTACTTCTCAGTACTCAAGTGTCTTCACACAATCCAGCATTAAATTACTCCCTACGCTCACCTTATGTTCCCACAGGTGAGGCCTCCCTGAGGCTCAGCATTGCTTCCTGTGTACCACAGGCGTACCGCAGAGCTGCTCATCTGGTACACATTTATAATTTCACTAAATTTGTTAGCAGCTTTGTGTCACAGATATAATGTTCCTTTTGTGTGTGTACGTATGTGTGGGGAGGCCAGAGGATATGGGTTTAGTGCCTCAGGTGTCCACCATTTCTAAGTCAGGGTCTCCCTCTGGCCTAGAACTTGCCAAGTAGCCTAGGCTGGTTGGCCAGAAGGCCAAAGGGCCTGTCTCCACTTCCTCAATGCTGAGATTATTAGCACACACAACAATGCTAGCTTTTTCATTTTTTTTTAACTTGGCTTTTGGAGACTTGTGGTGGTTTGAATAGGAATGGCCCCCATAGACTCATGTGTTTGAATGCTTGGACCACAGAGAATGGCACTGTTAGGAGGTGGCCTTGTTGGAGTAGGTGTGGGCTTGTTAAAGAAGTATGTCACTGTGGAGGTGGGCTTTAAGGCTTATATGCTCAAGCTAGGCCTAGTGGGACAGTCCCTTCCTGCTGCCTGCAGATCAAGATGTAGAACTCTCAACCACCTCTCCAGCACCATGTCTGCCTGCATGCTGCCATGTTTACTGCCATGTTTACAAAATGGACTAAACCTCTGAACTAACTGTAAGTCAGCCCCAATGAAATGTTTTCCTTCACAGGAGTTGCTGTGGTCATGGTGATAGAAACCCTGAGACAGGACTGAGCTTACAAGGCTGGCATTCGACGCACAGTCATCTCTCTATCCTGTAATTTTTCCCCCTAAATTCAGTTTACTTTATAAGCAAGCTATCCAAAGTAAAATATGTCAAAATTGGAGCCAATAAGGAGTTGTATTCAATAGAAAACAGCAAGTAATGTTTAGAGGAGGAGGAAACAACACTGAGTTTACAATGTGGGTCCACAAAGGCAAAGCACGTACTTTCCCGTCTTAGCCTACGGACTGTGCAAGAGTCAGTATGGTCAAAATAACAGAGAAGGAAGAAATTACAACATTAACACTAACCTGAAAGTCTGAACAAGGTTTTTAAGGTCAGAGTAAATATCGCCTATTGTAATCTGAAGAGGACCCAAAAGTCCAGGCAATCTGAAAAGAAAAAACAAAAAACCCCACATTATTTAAAGCTAGAACTTCATTACTGTGTAGAAACATTTTGGCGGGCATGCCTGCCCCTGGGGTTTCCTTGACCACTGTGACACTGAGGCGGAAGTGAAAGTTACGCTATATTATGACTAGGGAGAGGTCAAAGGAGCGTCATCCTAACTCCAGCTCTGCGTCCGTGCTACTGAGTGTAGAGCCCTGTGATGCAAAACCACCCTGGCTGCTGCCTCTACCTCTTTCTGTCCCTGGTTTTCTTACCTGAAGAGCAACCTACCATCACCTTTAATTCCATAGCTTACTATGAAAGCATTATCCTCTGAATAATCATATAAACACTATTCCAACAAATACAAGAAGATGACTACAGAAATATTTTAGTGATGGAGATAAACCTATCAGTAGGTGATTTATATGATAGATACATTTAGTAATACATTTAAAAAACCTTTAAAATAGTACAGATTAATGTTATTGGAAATGTAAAATGGTAAATGTTGGGCAAAAAAAGCATATGCCATGTAACACATTTGAAACAAAAATACACGATGCTTATTATACACAAAATATATTTCATTCCTTCTTAGAGTTGTTGTTTTATAGCAGGAAAGCAAAGGAATGAATACGTACACCATACCCAGCACATGGAGATGTGTCTAGCCTGCCCTCAAACTTTCTATGTAGTTAAAGACAGCCTTCAACTCCTCATCCTGCTGCTTCACTCCCCAAGTGCTGGGTCACAGGCATGCAGGGCACCCAGCTCAGATCCCACCTTTTAACATTGCTATGTTTACCTCATTTTTCTGTCCCTTGTTCTACCCCCAGAAGTACTTTAAAGCAAATTCTTGATATTATGTCATTGCACCCTCATTTTTACTCATATCTCTAAACACAAACATATTTTTTATACAATTACAATAACATCACCATACCTAACCATTACTTTTTTCTGGTGTTTATAAAAACAAAAAAGGTCAGCCCAGAAAACTGGCCTTTCAAAGCCTTTCTCCCCATCCTCCGGCTCTTAGAGTCTTTCTGCCTCCTCTTCCACATTATCCCTTCAGCCTGGGGTGGGGTGGGGTGTTGTATAAATGTTTTGTTTAGGGCTCAGCACTCAATCATCACTTTCATTAGCTAAAACAGCTAGAAAATTATTTCCAATGAAATTCCTGTCCTCTAACTATATACCTGAAATGATAATCTATCCCAACACTCAAAACTCAAATAGCCAAAGTTTGATATCGTCTTGCACTGTATCAGATAGGTGGTGACTTATACTGAATTATTTCACAGATATAAGCATAAAGATTAATTTTAAAAAACAAACAACAGGGCTGGAAAGATGGCTCAGTCAGTAACATGTTTCCCACCCAAGCATGAGGACCTGTGGAGGAGACCGGTCTATCCTGGGGCCTCAGTGGCCAGCCACTGTAGCCTGTCAGTAAGCGCCAGGTCCCAATGAGATCCTGGCTCAAGAAGCAAGGTGGAGGGCTCTTTGGAAGTAATATCAGAAGTTGGCTTCTGGTCTCCATTCCCACATACATGGACCTGCATGCATATGAACACGTACGTAGATTCTGTACATACACATATACCACACACACAGGGCAGAATAAAAGACACATATACAGAGCCCAACATATGGACGTGCTCAATAAATATTAATTTAAACATTTATTCAAAGGTAAAAACTAGGAATAGATCTTCTTTGTGGTCAGTTTTTTTAGATTGAACCAAACCAAGACATAATGCCATGTCCGGCATGGTGGCACTTCCTTCATCCCGGCACCCACAGGCAGAGACCGAGGCAAGAAGATCTCCGTGAGTTAGATGCTAGCCTGGTCTACATAGTGACCCAATCAAAGAGGATTTCAGGTGTGGCTTAAAAATATGTATTTTTAAAGTAAAATAATTGTACTTCCCATTATATCACCAGTAATATTTTATATCTTGGCTGCTCAAAAATATTATGCTTCCAGAAAATGTTTTTCTTCTTTTCAAAATACTACAAAACTAAGACTTCTCTGTATTTTCAACTCTTTAAATGGTGATTGATACATTTTTTCTTGCTAAAAGAAGGAAATGCAGGTTTAAAAGTTCAAGGTAGATCTTATACCTTTGGAAAAAAGATTTGGAAACTTTTTTGTTTTAAAAACAGAAACAAGAATACTTTTTAAGTGTTATCTGTAACTGGGCTAATTTTAAGAACAATCCTTCCCATCACAGGACACTTCAGGCCAAAGTGCACGTTGAACTGACTGAAACTCATGTTCTTGAGTGTGAAGTGGGCCTGTGAATATGCAGACGGTCTGTGGCAACGTCCAGCGATGTGACCGTTCACCACAGCTGAGCTTGCTTCAACAGCTCTCTCTTTGCTGGCTTAGGAAGACGTGGGGTATTTTGTTTTTCCACTCTACAATCTCAGTTTCCCCCTTTATGATATCCTTGTGTTGTCTACAAAAAGAATTTAGTACCGAAAAGTGTCTGAAAAGATACAATGTTAAAATGGGAAATTTTCAAATGAGGAAATTCATGTAAGCTTTTCGTATCATCTTTAAAAAATTTATAAATTACAAACTCATGAAAACATTCAGTTAATTTAAACCTCTTACTAAGTCAGAAGGACACATCCATACTTACACTTTGCTCAATTTTTCAAGAACAATCCGTTTTCTAATCTGGTTCTGGGAACTTGAATCAATCAGTGGGAAGCTGGGATCACGCCCAAACACATTCTTAAACAAAACAAACAGAAAAATAAACTGGTATTTTTTTTCTTTTTATGAGTGGAGCAATTAACATTAAACAGAAAAGTTCAGTCCTCTAGTATGGAAAGAGTTAAGAATTAAAACATTTAAACCTGAGCATTAGCTTAGTCATTACCAGGCTAAGGAACCTGCCTGGTCCATCAGCCCTCTTCTGAGGGCAGGTGTCTCTGTAAAATGCTAAACTCGATATAAACGTACATTTAAGGATTAACATCACCAATTACTAGAACTTGTGGAAAAGTCCTGTTTTTAGAAAAGATCATTCAAATGAACTAGGAATGAGAAAGTTGAAAAGAAAAGAAAACAAAAGAAACCTAGCTCTCCTGTGTTTGAAAGCGTCCCAGAACTAACAACGTAGTAAAGAATTTGGGTTGAGACCCTGGAGAGGGTAACTCAGCAGAGTGCACGGGCTAATCCTGAAAGAGGCAATTCTTTTTTTCCTAACAGAAACCTAAGCAGAGTTTTTCTAACAGAAACGACAGGTCAGGGCATGCCAAAAAGAGGGGTTATGGGTAAGGCTCCCCAAATGGAGGTCAAGACTTGGAAGGAGCACACTCCAGCAGTGAGACAGAACAGGAGAAAGACTGACTCTTGAGGACTGTTGCCACCACTCCGTTACCTCCGCTCCTGATTGGGTTATGGTGATGTGGGGTTGCTGGAAATCTTATGAGAATGGAACAGATCCATCCAAGAGGATAACAACAGCCTGCACCTCAGGTTAGCGTCTCCTGTGTGCATCAGACCGGCTCAAACTCACGATCCTCCTGCCTTAGCCTTCCAAACACTGGGATTACAGGCATGTATCTATCACTAAGCTCAGTTTGCAACATTTCAATATACAATGTTCGATATCTAATAAAATAAGACAATATAATAAAAATCAGGATCATTAGCCCATCAAAGTCAAACTCTCAGGGATTCAGATAATGAAATTATATTACTGTTAAATGATATAGTGTATAAGCTATATAAAGTTAACATCTTCAAAGAAAAACGACGGTAGAAAATGCTAGCAGGCAGCTGGAACTATACGAAAGGGCCAACAGACATTCCAGAACTGAGTGGCACCGCATTTAAAAGCACTCATCGGGCCGAGAGCAGCAGGGCCACATTCTCCCAGGTGACTTCATAACCAGTGTCCACCATGAAGCACAGACCTGGGGGCTTGCAGTCACGGCAGCTGGGCCTCTGACAGTGGCTAGGGACTATGAACATTTCCTCACAGAAGGCCTATACCAGAGATTCCGGTCACCACTTACTTCCCTCGGGCTCCCAGCTGAATGAGGTCTTGGTGCTAGAGCATGTAAGAGTTCGTAGAAGGCAGGCTGGTGTTGGGGCAGCCTTAGTGATCATCACCCAGTGCTGGGGGACTTTCAGTGATGCAGCCCAGCCCACCAGTGATGCTAGCATGCTCAGTCTTACAAAGCCAGACCTGGATGGACTATTCTTAGATTGTTGGTCCCTACTCAAGGTGAAGAGACACAAAAGATAGCTCAGAGCTCATGGGACATAGCCCTGGGGACTCAGGGGACTATACTACTTATGCAATGGCACACTCCTCAGTAATGAAAAGATGAACTACAGGGACACACAACAACACAAATATGTAAAAACCAAACTAAATCAAACAGTATTCTATCAAATTGGACAGTAAAGAATATAGACTGTTCAAATTGGCAAAAGTAATCTCTATCATATAATAGTAAATCTGGAAGAGGCAATGGTCAGGAGCAGACACTGGTTTCCTTGTAAGGAAGCACTTCCTGGTGTGGGTAGTAATGTCACGGGGTGCTCACTGCAAACATTCAACAGTCTGTACACTTGCTACTGAATGCCAATGAAAAAGCTGTAAAATGCTCTACAGTGGAGCCAGACCTCAGACACTGGTTTTTCCTTTGTAAGGCTTCTTAGTGTAAAGCCGTAAGTGACGGCAGGGGCTTACACAGCTCTCCGGAAGAGACCAGTGTTCCTCCGAGCTTAATGCAAGTTTTGGATGCTAATATTGAACTGTGTGTGCGGGGCTAGGTAAAAGTTTTGTAAAGATCCAAGAAATTTCTGTATTTTCTCTGTTTCTACCTTCCCTCCCCAATCTCCAAGTGTGTTTTTAATCTTAGGGCAACATCACTTACAACTCTTTTAATAAGAGTTTTATGCTAAATTAAGACTATTTTCCACTCTTCTCTCCATGCTACATGACTTCCCAGACAGCACATATGAACCAAAAATATGCACTGGGAATATTACAAAGTCCTTCCTACATCTCAGCAGTGTGCACTGAGCCCTTATGTATAATGGCTTTGTACACAGTTATGATGTCACACTCTGAACAGATGAACCATGGGAACTACTGAAAGTCCCATTTACAGATAAGCAGACTCAAGAACTACGTTTTTATATTTTTTATTATTATTATTATTATTATTTGGTTTTTCAAGACAAGGTTTCTCTGTGTAGCTTTGCGCCTCTCCTGGAACTCACTCTGTAGACCAGGCTGGCCTCAAACTCACAGAGATCCGCCTGGCTCTGCCTCCCGAGTGCTGGGATTAAAGGCGTGCGCCACCACCACCCGGCAAACTATGTTTTTAAAAAGCTGGCAGATGAGCGTGGATCTCTATATTCATGACTTCCCAGTAAATCCCTTTACTACAGCATTTTCATCTTTTGTGTCTGTGAGCTATGTTTTCTACATGTGTGTGCATGCATGCATTCGTGGGCATGTGGAGACCAGGGGTCAGCACTGCATGTCTTCCTCTATCACGTTTCTCCACCTTAGTCTGCACAGTCTTCATGACCATGGAGATGTTTCTTCTAGACTGGCTGATCAGAGAGCCCTGGAATCCCTGTCTCTGCCCCTCCCCTTGCCTGGCAGTGCGTATCAGATGCACACCACTGTGCCTAGAGCTTATGAGTGCCAGAAATCTGAACTCAGCTCCTCAGGCTTGGGACACAAGCACCTTCTCCCACGAACCATCTCCCCAGCCTGTAACATTTCAAATGGACACTCGAACCGAACATTACCTCGAGAAGCATTTAACTATCTAAGCAGTCAATGTATCCTACTGCAAACAGCACGAGGCATGCTCCCAGATTCGCTCTGCTGAGTTCTCCAAATGTGAGCAGCCTAAAAATTTCATGAGAAGACATACCTCTTCTGGGTGCTGCGACTTGGTAGTTTCGTCATTTAAAAAATAGCGTCCTCTATAGAACTCCCTGACCCTCAGATTCAGCATTTCAGTTTCTTTTTTCAAACTCTCGTAACTTGGCAGTGGCTTAATGGCCGTGTCTGAGCCTCTGAAGGGTAGTGTCTCATCCAAGTTGTTCTGAGGTTGGCTCAGGGCAGGACCATAACCACCTGGGTCACAGCTTACGTCATCTTCATCCAATTCCTCATCAGGTACGGGGGCTGACGACGGTTTCAGGCACACAGAGGCATGATCTGGGCCATACAGAAACTTCAATGTTTCTTCTGTCTTCCATTCAGTCAAAGTGTCCTTTAGAACACGAAGCAAGTTCGCCTTTGCAACCTTAGGACACACCTGCACTGAGCCAGAGGCTGACCCAGAACCCTGGGTAGATTTGGCAAATTTGCTCCTGAAGTGCTCAGCACTTTTCTTGCTTATACCTACAAGGGTAACTTCTGACATACTGTGTCTACTGTCAGAAACTGCTGAAGTGTTTAGTCTTTCACACGAAGGGGCAGGTGAAGAAATCTGAGTACTTTCTTTCTTTGAAGGAAGTTCACAGGCAGCTGCTTTCTCCGGACTACCCAATCTGCAATTACCCAACTGCTCGGTGACATCTGCCACTGTCTGCTCTCTGTGTGTGGAGTTCACTTTCTGACCAGCTTTCTTTTTCCTTATGCTGCTCTCTTTGTGCAGCCGTGGTCTGGTATCGGCTGCCTTTGGCCTGTTTCCTGGTAGGAGCGAAGAAACAAAGCCCTGCTCATCATCACTGGTGGGATCACTCCCGGTGCAGGAAGCTGTCGGTTCACACTGCGCTTCAGAGGCACCAGGACTGTCAATATCTGCTGCAGTGATGGCTTCACTGAAGAACTGTACTACTTCTCCAGAACAGCCACTGTACAAGGGAAGAGAATCAATTACAATGGGAAGACAAAGCATTTCCCAGTTACATTCTGGAATTTCCACTCCTTAGGCACAGCTTTACTTACACACTCTCTCTCTCACATGAACTTCAGAAGGCTTTAATTTCTCCATCTCTAACACATGTTTGATACAATTCTTTTCTAGCTTTCCTTTGCCTATTTTTAACCATTTTATAATATTTTTGTTTGTTTTTTGTTTTTCAAGATGGGGTTTCTCTGTATAGCACTAGCTGTCCTGGAACTCATTTTGTAGACCAGGCTGGCCTTGAACTCACAGAGATCCACCGGCTTCTGCCTCCCTAGTGCTGAGATTAAAGGTGTTCACCACCACTGCCTGGCTGTGTTGCAATTCTTTTTTTTTTTTTTTTTTTTTTGGTTTTTCGAGACAAGGTTTCTCTGTGTAGCTTTAGTGCCTGTCCTGGATCTCGCTCTGTAGCCCAGGCTGGCCTCGAACTCATAGAGATCCGCCTGCCTCTGCCTCCCAAGTACTGGGATTAAAGGTGTACACCACTGCTGCCCAGCCCTATGTTGTAATTCTTAAAGTAGTATAGCAAACCAACATCATAACACTTTAAATAAAGACACTATGCTGTTCAATGATTTTTGATTTTTGCTTGAAAAAAAGAAAAATATTTTCTAGTTCTGGTTGACCATTATACAGAAAACTTCATGGAATGAAAAATACAAATGTCATAACAGAAAATGAAGTTGGTACATCAACATTATTCAATGAAAGATACTTAAATTTGAAGACTCGGGAGTTGCAGCAGAATGCAAACCTAGAGAACAGCTGTCCCTCTGATGGAGGAGCAAACGCAAACAGGAAGCAAACAAGTGTGTATGACCTGCTGCTCTCAAGCATGCGGCGCGCTTTCCTATTGGCTGAGAACGTGTGGGCGAAGGTGCACACCGTGGGAAGGAAAGAGCTCAGGCAGCGGAGAGCTGAAGGCAGGTCCTGGTGGGAATGCAGAAGAGGACCAAAATTCTCAGCATCACATACAGTTTCTAACTAGAATTTAACCTGCATCCCCAGGCAAGTGACTGCTGGATAAGAAAAGAAACCATAACATCAGGAAACTAGAAGGCAGGCTGGAAAGATGCCTCAGTGGTCAAGACCACTTATTCTTACAGAGGACTTGGGTTTGACTCCCAGGACCCACATGGTGGTTCACAACTGCCCGTAACTCCAGTTCCAGGGAATCCAATGCCCTCTTCTGAACCCCCTGGGCAAACACTTCCACATATAAAAAATGAAACAAATCTAAAAAATTTAGACTGAAACTTTCATGGTTTTTATAACTCACTCTTTCTCTTGAGGTTCTAAGGCACCTCCATTTCATACTAGGGTAAAGCCATCAAGGTGTCCATCAGTAAATAACTGTCCCTTGTTTGTGCTGGATACCTTGTGACTAAGGCAATGACTGACAACCAGGGACATTTAATCTGAGAGCTGAAAGGATTTGTTCTGAGAGATGGCTGCAGTTGAGCAAACAACACTAAGAAGAGCTATGAGGTGGGGTTAGGAAAAACAAAAACCCACAACCTGCATTTATATTACTACTTTAGATATTCTTTCAAATAATAAGTAACACATTAATAGTTTAAAATCCTATAAGATCATAAAACCCCTTCTCAAATGTAATGGTCACAACGTCACCAACAAAGGGACAGCGTGAGATGGAGACTGTGTTTGTGTCTGTTTCAACAGGTTCAATTAGACCTCCTCAGCGGGACAGCTGTACAATAAATCAGACAGATCAAACACATCATCTTTCCCTCACAAAAGAAAATGCTGAACATGTCACACGTCTCTTTGTACCACACTGCACAGGAAGTCCAGGAGCTCACGCCACCTGGCCCACTCAGGTCAAACTGATTCCAACCAACCTTTGTCCTTCCTTCAGCAGCTGAAAATCAGGAGGCCTGGAACAAAACACAGAGAGAGGACGCTGAAGGCAACTGACACATCAAACACATTCAAGGGTTTACTATAACTGCACTGCATAGGAAACACAATTGGAGAAGTAATTCATAGAAAGATTTTCTTTCCTTAAGGAAAAAATTAAAGGGCAAAGTACTGTAGAACACATGCAAAAAAACTGGATTCGGTGTTTTGTTTTGTACCTAAAATTTACTCATTTTCAGAATTAAGTTCAAATTCCATGCACAGTTCCTGTTCTTGGTGACTTCCAGTCACCGTCAGCTCCAGCTAACCAGAATGTTTTGCTTCTGTCGGCACTGTTGTCTAAATGTTTTCCTGAGCACAGGTTTAAGTGGAGTTCCTAACTGATCCACCAGCTCCTTGAAGGCAGAGACTATGTTGCAATTCTTTTTTGTTTGTTTTGTTTTTTTTCCGAGACCGGGTTTCTCTGTGTAGCTTTGGAGCCTGTCCGAGAACTTGCTCTGTAGCCCAGGCTGGCCTCGAACTCACAGAGATCCACCTGCCTCTGCCTCCTGAGTGTTGGGACTAAAGGCCTGCGTCACCACTGCCCAGATATGTTGCAATTCTTATCCTATCAACCTAACTTCTGAGACAGCAATTATGGTGTACTATGACCTTTCTTTTTTTTTTTTAATATATCTTAGCACATATCGCTGGTTGGCCTTGAACTCATAAAAGTCCAAAGCTGGGATTAAAGGTGCCACCATACTGGGCATGAATGTTTGTGCACCGTGTGTGTGCAGTGCCTGGAGATGGCAGAAGTAGGCGTCAGAAAAGGCAGAGTTGGAGTTACAGACAGTGAGCTGCCATGTAGCCACTGGGAACCAAACCTCTGCGAGAGCAGCAAAACGGTATTCACCACTGAGCCACCTCTAAGCCCTTGTACAAATCAAGTAAGTTACACCTAATTCCATGAACAATTTGGTTATACACTGTCAGAAATCACATTTGACCATCATGAGTATTGAAAAGGGAAGAGCTCTTCAAAGGGCTGATACAGGGCTGGGGAGGGAGCTCAGCTGGCAGAGCCTGCCTAGCATACTCAAAGCCCTGGGTTCAATCCCCAGGTGTGGCGGTGCATGCCACAAAGCCAACACTCAGGAGATGGAGGCAGGAAGATCAGAAGTTGTAGAGTAGCAGTTTCCTCTGAGGTAGAAACATTCCACCTGGAGGGAAGCTCCTTAAATCAGATCGCAAACAGCTCACAACAGCTGTGAAGTAAGCTCCAGGTTCCCAGCTTTTGTGAGCGGCCACCTACACTGGGGTGGGCTTTGGTGATGTAGCTATCTTTAAGTTATTTCTGCTCCTGTAAGTAACCCTTCACCCATATTCCTATAAGGAACCCCTCAAAAGTCATGGTTCACAATGTTGGACTTGTGACATTTGGATTTTGGTCTGTCATGGGCTCCCTATCTTGGGGTGAGATGTATGTACTGTGTCTCCCCAGAATGTTTTGTCACACAACAGAAGTTCAAGGTCATCTTCGGCTACCCAGCGAGTTCAAGGCCAGTTTCAAAGAAAAAATAAGGCAAATACAAAGGAGGACAAACATGACAGTCAGTAAATCCATGAGGACAGAAAAGAACCTACAGAATCCCTGAAGCGACTAAAAAGATGCCGTCTTTTTTAAAGAAGTTTTGTAGCTCAAGAGACTGAACCTAGGGCTTCATGCACACTGGGCAAGTGCCCACTCCTGAGTTCCTCAACTTAATAAAATCTAGTGCCTTTTAAACACCAAATAAACAGGTGATGCCAAAGGACATATAAAGGCCTAGGAGCACACTACAGAGACATTAAGGTACCAAATACAACCTTATTTAAAGGCCTAAACAAAACCATTAAAAAATAATAAGGCCAACAACAGCACCAACAACCCCCACTAAAAAACCCAGCTCAATGAACTTCAATGAATTCAAGCTAAATGTACAGATGAAACTGGAACTTAATTGAATTTTGACATTTCAAGGTTGCCAATTTAAAAGTGCTTCCCTCTGCAGTGCTCACAGCACTGATGAGCTACAACCACGAGGTAAGTGCGCACCCTCGGCTCAGTGCAGACACAGGACGCACTCCGGGGTGCCTCACAGTCCTGTTATGGGGTCACTGCTGAGTATGGCAGGCCTTCCCATCACCCCGAGTTCTTCACGTGAGAAGGCACACGGGATGAAGCTGGCTTCTGCCATTCCCGGCACCACCTGCAGCTGAGCGATTCCTAAGACCAAAACTTAGGAATCAGCGAGTCTTTTGGAGGTGATTTTCCCTTCTGTCCCTCAGCCAATCGAAGCAGGTTATTCCCCAGCATCCCAGTCCCCCTGCCTTCTGCTCACTGAAATCAAGTCACAGCTGCCGCATTACTTTAACGTTGTTCGAGAAAATAAGTGGCCCTCCTTGTGTGGTAAATAACCACCACTGCACTGGTTACAACTCCTCAGCCATGGACTGTTTCCACACTTCTCCTACTTTTCTGATCATGCCCTCATCCATCCCCATGTATCCTGGATAGTTTTCCGTCAGCCTGACACAGCTAGAGTCACCTGAGAGAAGGGAAACTCAACTGAGAAAACGCCTCCTAAGATCCAGCTGTAAGGCATTTTCTTAATTAGTGGCTGATGTGGGGAGGGCCCAGTCCATTGTAGGTGAAGCTACCCCTGGGCTGGTGGTCCTGGGTTCTATAAGAAAGCAGGCTGAAAAAGCCACGGGGAACAAGTACCACCTCTGTATCAGCTCCTGCCTCCACGCTCCCGCTAGTTTGAGTTCCTGCCTTGACTTCCCCCAATGTAATGTGACAGTGCTATATGAAAGCCACATAAACAAATAAACCCTCTGCCCCACTGTAGCTGGAATGTAATGTGACTAGTGCTATGTAAGCCACATAAACAAATACACCCTCTGCTCCACTGTAGTTGGAATTTTCTGTGGGCCGCCAACCAGCTCCCAAATAAAGACAAAGAGACTTATTAATTATGAATGCTTGGCCTTAGCTTTGGCTTGTCCCACTAGCTCTTTTAACTTAATTCAACCTGTTTCTATTCATCTACATTTTCCCTTTAGGCTTTTTTTTTTTTTTTTTTTTTTTTTTTTTTACCTTTCTTTCATTCTGTATGTCCTACTTTCCTGCTTCCTCCATGTCTGTCTGTCTGGCCCCTGATGTCTCTTTTTCTTCCCCCCCTACTTACGCTCCCTGCTCAGAAGACCTGCCTATACCTCCTCCCTTACTATTGGCCATTCGGCTTTTCATTAGACCCATCAGGTGCCTTAGGCAGGCAAGTTTAAACAGCAACACACTGCGGTGGAATAATCCTTCTGTACATTCTGTGAATGTATGTTGCTATGATTGGTCTAATAAACAAGCTGACTGGCCAGCAGCCGAACAGGATAAAATTAGGCAGGAAAGCCAAACTGAGAATGATGGGCTGAAGGATGAAGAAGTCAGAGACACCAGCCAGTCGCTGAGGAAGCAGAACATGTAGAAAATGAGGTAACAAGCCATGAGCCACATGGCAAAGCACAGATAAGAAATATGAGTTAATTTAAGTGTAAGGGAAATCAAACAGGAACATTTTATATCATCAATACAATTTAAGCTAGTTTGAATTTAATTTTGTGAATTTATTTTTTCAAAGTGGGATCACACTACGTTAATTACACTGGTCTTTAAATTCAGGATTCAACTGATCTTCCAGCCTCAGCCTCTTCAGCAGCTGATACCACAGGCTCACCTTGCTGTATGTTTGATTTTTTTTTTTTTAAAGGAATAAAAGAAATCTCCGTTTCTGATAGCAGGAGGGACATTAGCAAATAGTAAGTACCAACTGTGTCAGACAGGTTCTAGTTTCTTCCATGTTGTGAAAAATGCACAACTTAGGGGAGAAAGGGCTTATTCTGGCCTATGGTTCCGGGCATCTCTGTAGGGAGGTCAGAGGCAAAGCTCCAGAGAGCTGGCGCCACTGCATCTAGTCAGGAGGCGGAGAGCAATGGGTGCATGCTGCTGTACAGCCTGCCTTCTCCATCCTCACATTCCCAAGATTCCAACCAGGGAATGGGTCCAATCAGTGGGTGGGTCCTACCACCTCTATTAAGGTAAACTAATCCCCGCCCCCTCCCTCCCCCCAGGAGATTCTAGATTCTCTTCAGTTGCTGGTTAACACTAACCAGCCACAATAGGTTTTTAAAATTGTGGTAAAGGGGCCAATAATTCAGCTTGGAGGTAGGGCCCATTTAGCAATGTTAGGCCTTGGCCTTAAACAGCAGCAGTAACTCATGAACGGACAGAATAGTCAGATGTGTAGAACATGAAGTTATCATTTAACAGACGTTTTGTTGTGCAGTTCAGTACTTTTCTATGCTGCTCAGCTATCACCACAGCTGTGGCTGTAATCTGTCACTGTTATAGACCATCTCCATGGTTCACATACTATTTCATTGTTCTTCCAACTTCCAGCTGTTTTTACGGGTAAGGAAAGGGAAGCCTTGGGAGGGTAACTAACTGACCTGAGCTCGCACAGCCAACAGTCAATCAAGATTAGAACTTAGGTCTTACTTCAAATTCTGAACTCTTTCCACCAGATGTTGCTCTAGCGTCAGGAGAAACAGTAACAACAAGCACCCCAGTCCCCATAAAACAAACAAACAAAAAATCCTGAGGAAAACTTTTGGTTCCTCCCTCTTACCTTTACAAACCTTACTGTCCTTCTGTTTTCTCTGACTTTACACAGAGACTCAGTCAACCCTGTTACTAGGAGATTCCCCACCCCCACCCCCCAAGACAGGGTTTCTCTGTGTAGCTCTGGCTGTCCTGGAACTCTCTCTGTAGACCAGGCTGGCCCCGAATGCTGAGATTATAGGCATGCACCACCACGCCCACTTTACTGGGTGATATTTTAAGTGACTTTAATACCTTTGTTGGTCCCTAACCTATAAAATGAGTAATGGTACCTGCACTATAACCAATAAGAGGTTTATTTTTTGTTACGGGTACTTT